ATATATATATATATATATACATATGTATATATACATATATATGAGACATATATACACCAACGACTACGAAGAATCGAACACGGCGAGGAGACAGATACAACAACGGAAGCAGCAGCAACAGCAGCAGCAAGAACAGCAGCAGCTGCAGCAGCGAGAACGATAGCAGCAACAGCAGCAGTAGCTATACAAGAGAGTATCGAGAGCGAGAGGAGACTCTTAAGCCTTCGTCTCCATATAAACCATGCATGCACATACACCCGAATGCATGCATATTATGCGATATTACAATGATATGTTTTCTTCTGTAGCTGCACTGTACGTGCACCGCACGGGCCGCTCTCTCTCTCTCTCTCTCTATACATATATATATATATATATGTATGTATGTATTTCTATCTTTATCTATCTACCTATCTATCTACTCATCTATCTATATTTCTTTCTGGAGGAGCTGCATGTGCAGCAGAGAAGGGAATAGGCTTCTGTTGATGCTTCTTCGCTCTGCTGCTTAAATTTTTATCTTCTGTTGTCTTTTTGTTTGTCTCCTGCTGCTGCTGCACAGCAGCAACAGGAGCTGCACATACACCCCAACGGCGTGCACGCACAGTAGAGGCTTCGGTACTGCAGCAGCATCTACTGTATTATTTTCTACAGTGTATATACACCCAGAGTACTGCCCCATTAACATTTTAAACAAGGTAAGGTTGGGCCTCAGCAGCAGCAGCAGCAGCAGCAACAGCAGCAGCAGGAGCAGCAGCAGCAGCAGCAGCAGCAGCAGCAGCAGGCGGATATTCTTCTAGAGTCCTTCTTTGGGGGTCCGCAGGTGAATTTCATTGAATTTATTTATTTTCTGTTATGATAAAATGCTGCAGCAGCAGCAGCAGCAGCAGAGGGGTTTAATAAACTGTATTACTCTTCTTAAATAAATATACAAACAAAGATAAGGCGATGCTCTACGTTAAAAGAGGGGGAGGAGATGTGTGTTGTCTCTTATGATTGCTGCTGCATGCAGAAGAAGTAAGTTTATTGTTTATTTTAAAGAGAAGACAGCAATAAAGAAATAATATTAAGAGCCCCAATATAAGCGTTAGCCCCCACGAGGTGTTGCTGCTGCAGCGACAGAAGTGTTGCTGCTGCTGCTGCTGCTGCTGCTGCTGCTGCTGCTGCTGCTGCTGCTGCGGTCGGTGGCAGAGCAGGGCTGTATATGCTGTTTTTCTTTCGCTGGTTTCTTCTCTGGTGCTGTTCCTTTGCTTCGCATGCAGATAATCTCTGTATATACACCTTGTGGGCCCCTCTTCTTCATCCTTCTCTCAGCAGCCGCTCTGATCTTAGCTGCTGCAGCAGCAGCAGCAGCAGCACAGGGGCCCCCATGAGGAGGCCCCCGTGCCATTCTCTTTATAAATCTAATTTCTATCTTCTTGCTGCTCTCCTTCTGCTCTCTCCTGTCCCTTCTCTATTTGCATTTTTTGCTGCTGTCGTTGCTGCTGCAGCAGCTCCCGCTGCTGCACGTCCTTTGTAGCAGCAGCAGCATCACGGACAGCAGCAGCAACAGCAGCAACAGCAGCAACAGCAGCAATAGCGGGAGATATGCAGCAGCGCTGCAGCTCTGATAGAAACAACTTGGTTTAGCTGTATTGCTGCTGCTGGGGGGCCCTGCGCGAGAAGTATTATAATAATGCGGAGGGGCCCCCCTTGAAGTGTTATTATATCTTCTGTTGCTGCTGTTAGGAGACCCTTCTAGCTTCTATTGCATCATTATCTGCTGCTGCTGTTGTTCTTCTTAAGGGCGAGCAGCAGCTCGGGGGAGCGCCGGCGCGGCTGCTGCTGCCGCTGCTGTTCCTGCTGCTGTTGCTGTTGCTGTTGCTGTTGCAGCAGCAGCAGCAGCAGCAGCAGCTTCTGTGTTGTATATCTGTAAGAGTGTATATATAATTTCTGTCTCCTTAACTTCTTTACCTGCTTGTCAGGGGTCTCCTTCTTGCTGTATATGATGGGTCCCTCATCGAAGCCTGCTGCAGCAGCAGCAACAACAGCAGCAGCAGCAGCAGCATTGCATGCAGCAGCTTCCCCCGAGGAAGCAGAGGGCCCCTTACAAACAGATAAAACTCAGAGCCCCTCAGAAGGCCGAGCTGATAGGAAGACAGATACACCCCCCCCTAGCACGAGTAATGTCTCTGTCTTCAGCGGATTCTCTAACGCTGCTCATGACAGTTTGTCTCCGTTGGGTATCCCTAATAAAGAAGCTCTGCTTCAGATGGAGGCCCCTACAACTTCTCCTTCAGGAGGCGCCCCTAACCAGGCTCTAGGGACTGCTGCTGCTGCTGCTGCTGCAGCAGCAGCAGCAGCAGCTGCAGCAGATGCTGCAGCAAATGGATCCCAGGGGCCCCAAGGAGACCTTAAAGAAGGATCCCCTCAAGGGACCCCACAGGAGACAGGTGATGATGAGGGGGCCCCTGAGGGGGCCCCTGATAAAGGCTTATCAATAGGAAAGAAGCAGACAAAGAAGAAGAGATGGTTGTGCTGGCTACTACTTGCTTTGTGCTGCCTGCTAGCTGTAGGCCTCCCGCTATTTATATATGTTGTGTCTCCTTTGATAGTTCGTGCTGCTGTTGCTGCTGCACAATTTGAGGTAAAGGAGACAGTAGTTGTCGGGACAGAAGGAGACACTTTAGAATCTGAGCTGCAGGTGCTGCTGCTGTCTCCTCCACCGCTTAAAGCTGTCTTCGGTGCTGCAGAAGCAGCAGCTACGTGGCGAGGAGACACCTTCGGTTCTGTTAGCTTTCCTGAGCTTACGATGAAGAGAGGAGACAGAGAGCTTATGTTTAAGACTAAATTAACTGTTGAAGACAAAGACAAGTGGAGACAGCTGTCACAAGACCTCCTAGAGACAGGCAGCACCGCTTGGGTTATTCAAGGAGAGACAGATGTACATACACTCGGAATGCGATTTAGAAACATACCGTTTAGCTTCGCTGTTGATGTACAGGGTAAGAAATACATCGCATTTGCTGTCTCCTTTGCTTGCTGGCTGTCTCTGTCTCTCTGTCTCTGTCTCTCTCTGTCTCTGTCTCTGTCTCTCTGTCTCCCTCTCTCTCTCTCTCTGTCTCTGTCTCTGTCTCTGTCTCTGTCTCTCTCCCGCTGTGTCTCTCTGTCTCTCTGTCCCTCTCTCTCTCTCTCTCTGTCTCTCTGTCTCTCTGTCTCCGTCTGTCTCTGTCTCTCTGTCTCTCTGTCGCCCGCTGTCTGTCTCTCTGTCTCTGTTTTTGTCTCTTTCTTTGTCTCCTTGTTTGTCTCTCATTGTCTCCTTTTCTGTCTCCTTTTCTGTCTCCTTTTCTGTCTCCTTTTCTGTCTCCTTTGTCGTCTCTCTCTCCTTTTCTGCCTGCTGCATTTGCTGCTGCTGCTGCATTTTGCTGCTGCTGCTGCATTTGCTGCTGTTGCATTTGCTGGTGCATTTGCTGCTGCTGCTGCTGCATTTGCTGCTGCTGCATGCGCTTGATTTGCTGCTGCAGGGCCTTCTCTGTTAGCTTCTCAGCGTGTGGGTGGGGTGTCTCCTTTTCGTGTACTGTCTCTAGATTTAGGAGACAGCAACGAGGAGACAGTTAAAATGAAAGCCCGTGTTGTGTTTAATAATGACAGCACTACTTCTATTTCTTCTTTAGGTGTTGCTCTCTTCGATTTAAGTTATGAAGGCGTATCCATTGGGTATATGCAGTCAGAGTCTCCTCTTGAAGTTAAGAGAGGAGACAATATATACACCTTCGTCGGAGAGCTGCGGCCACAGCAGCAGCAGCAGGAGCCTCAGCAGCAGCAGCAGCAGCAGCAGCCGCAGCAGCAGCAGCAGGAGCAGCAGCAGGAGGAGCGAGAGAAGCGGCACGAGCGTTCTTTATCTGTTTCTTTAGGAGACAGTAATAATCAGGTGTCTCCTTTGCAAGAAGAGACAGAAGAAGGAGACAAACCAGACGGCTTCTTAGATGCAGTCTCGTCGTTATTGTCTCAGTCCCTCTCAGGTATAGATGTATATCTGCATGCAAGAGGTGTCTCTTGTAGCGAGGGTATCTTCGAGCCCGCTCTTACCTCAACTGTCTTCACAACCCCTGTCAAGGGCCTTGCTGTGGGGCCCCGAAGGGGCTGGGAGACTGCCACTGCTGCTGCTGCTGCTGCTGCTGCTGCAGACCCAGCAGCAGCAGCAGCAGCAGCAGCAGCAGCAGCACCGTTAGGGAGACGCAGGGGGGCCTCACAGTTCACCTCCTCAAGGGCCCCACGCCCTAAAGGAGACACTCCGATTGCTTCAATGGTTGAGGGTCTCCGAATTGAAAAGATGCAGCTCAAAGAACATCCACAAGAAAGAGACAAAGCTCTGATAGAAGCAGGCTTAACTGTACGCCTTGCTAATCCTCTCGGCCCCAATTCTTCTGTCTCTGTTGAGAAGGTAAGCAGCAAACAGAAGGAGACAGCAGCAGACAGAAGGAGACAGAAGGAGACAGAACGAGACACTCTTCTTGTCTTTATTTAATGCACGCGCTCCCTCTCGTTGTCTCCTTTTGTGCTCTCGTCTTAGGCCTTTTTGTCTCTTCTTTGTCTCCTCTTTGCCTCTTCATTGTCTCTTCATTGTCTCTTCATTGTCTCTTCTCTGTCTCTTCTTTGTCTCCTCTTTGTCTCTTCTCTGTCTCCTTTTTGTCTCCACTCTGTCTCCCCTCTGCCTCTTCCTCTTCATCTCCCTTGAGTCTCCTTTTTGTCTTTTTGTGTCTCCTCTTTGTCTTCTTTCTGTCTCCTTTTTGTCTTCTTTAATATCCTTTTTGTCTCCTCTCTGTCTCCTTTTTATCTCTTCTTTGTCTCCTCTTTGTCTCCTTTGTGTCTCTTCACTGTCTCCTCTTTGTCTCCTTTCTGTCTCCTTGTCTGTCTGATGAGTCCTGTCTTCTTTAGTCCCCTTTGTTTTATTTTATGTTGTTAATCTTTTAATCTTTTCTTCTTGTCTCTGTCTCCACTGGCTGGTGCTGTCTCCGTGT